TGTGGTTGTCTTCAGAACTGGGAAATTAACACCAATACAATACTATTTATTATCTACAGACTGAACTTGAACATTGCCAGTTTCCCATTAATGCCCCTTTTCTGGTCCAAGATCCAATCCAGGGTCCACACTGCCTTTAACTGTCACGTCTCTTTAATCGGGGACAGTTGCTCAGTCTTTGTCCTTCATGACGCCTTTGAAGAGTACTGGTCAGTTGTTTTGTCAGTGTCCCTCAATTTGGGCTTGTCTGATGTTTCTCATGATTAGATGGAGGGTATACTTTCTGGGCTAGAATAGCACAGAGGGGACGTATTCTCAGCGTGTCCTGTCTGGAGGTGCATAATGTCTACCTGCCTTTTTACAGGTGAGGTTAGTGTCGGTCACTCGGCTAAGGTGGGGAGGGAGGCTCCTGGGTTTCTCCACAATAAAGTTACTACTTTTTCCCTTTGTGATAGTGTTTGTGGGGAGATACTTTGAGACTTTGTAAATACCTTGTTTCTCATCATACTTTCAAGAATCTTACCATCCATTGATGATACTTACTTGCAAAAGTTATTACTGTTGTGCTTGCCTAATGGTGATTTTTTATTTTCATGATTCCTTCTGCACTTATTGTAATTCTTCTGTTCCTTCTTCTGCATTTATTTATTATTTAGTTATTTGTTTATAACCCTGTGGACTCATGGATATTTGTTTTAGTCTATTGGTTGTAAGGTATTACTGTCACGATTTATTTGTTTCTGAGACTGTCCCAGATTTGGCCATTGGGAGCTCCTTCAACTGGATTCCTGGCTTTCAGCATGCCTCACCATCTTTTGAGCCCTTTCTTCTAGGATCAAAGTTGTACTAGACTTATCTTGCATTTTCTTTACCTCAGTCCTGGAATCAGCCATTTCTTCAAGGACCCCTTGATTCTTTTACTGAAGAATGATATTTAGTAACCAGGATCCTAATGGAAAGTGCCCTCATTACTACTGGGGTATCATTACTTTTAGACCTTGTCAGTGGACAGAGCTTGGAAATAAATGTACGCATATACTGACACATGCATACTCGTATCTATAATCATATGCCCAGCTCTGTATGTGAGAGAGTATGTGTATACACATATATTAAGAAAGGTAGGGAAAGCTAGAATGGACTCTGGAATAGTATGAATTCATTCACACTAACCATCACTAACTTTCTTAATTATTATTTAATCCACAGATCCTCCCTCTTTTTTTTTTTTTTTGGTAATTTATTTGTTGAATAAGTTGGGTCATTTGTTCTTTATCGTTTTCCACATTCTGGATTTTGCTGATTGTGTTTTTGTAATGTCATTTAACTTGTTTCTCTGCTGATTCTCTGGTAAGCTGGTAGTTAAATAAGATGCATGATCAAATTCAGGTGTAATTTTTTGGCAAGTTTTACATTATAGATGGTCATTTGTACTTCCAATAATATTTGCTAGTTCCTGTTTTTTTTTAAAAGATTTTATTGGGGAATTGGGGAAGGGGACCAGCCAAGTTGTTGTTCTTCAATTTTCATTTTGGAGGGCACCAGTCGACATCTGGCTTCCCGTCGGCAGCTCGTGGCCTCTAAGCTCAAGGTGCTGTGTTCAATCTTAGTTGTGGGTGGGCGTAGCCACCATCCCATGGGGGAGTCGAACCCAGCAGCCTTGTTGTTAAGAGAGCATGCTCTATCCACTGAGCCATCCGGGCGGCAGCTCAGCTCAAGGTGCGAAGTTCAGTCTTAGTTGCAGGTGGGCGTAGCCCACCATTGAATAGACAATCTTGTTGTTACTCCAGCTGAGCCATCCTGCCACCTCTTTGCAGCTCAGCGACAGCTCAGCTCGGGCGCAGTGTCACTGGCCCATGTGGGAATCAAACTGGTGGCCCGTAGCTCAAAAGCCCACACTCTTAAGCCAACTCTTAACCAACTGAGCCACTCGGCCGGCCCTGCTAGTTCCTGTTTCTGTGATGAAACTGGCCATTGATTGTTTGTAAAATGGTGATAATTTAATCTCCTCATTCCTTCTTCATTTATGGCTGAATACTCCTATAAAGGAAAGCTTATTTTTCATCAGCTATTTAGTTACCCTGGGGTATAGTTCATACAGGAAAGACAAAACAAGAATTCACCAAAGGTAATTGTGTTAGTTTCCTATTGCTGCTATAACAAAGTACCACGACCTTGGTGGCTTAACAACACAAATTGATTTTACAGTTCTGGAAATTAGAAGTCTGAAATGGGTCCTTACCAGGCTACAATCAGGGCATCAGCAGGGCTGCATTCCTTCCGCAGGCTCTAGGGGAAAACCCATTTTCTTGCCTTTTCCAGCTTCCGGAGGTTGTCTGTATTTCTACACCTGTGGCCCTCTTCCATCTTTAAAGCCAGTAATGGCTGGTGATGTCTTTTGTATGGTTTCCTCTTTCACTTTTAAGGATCTTTGTGATCATATTGGACCCACCTGGTTAATTTCTCTAAAGTTCAGCTGATTAGTAACCTTAATTCCATCTGCAACTTTTATTACCTTTTACCATGTTATGTAGCATATTCACAGATTCTGGGGATTAGGATGTGAACATCTTTGAGGTGCATTATTCCACCTAGTATAGTGACCAAAGGTTTTTTTTTTTATCTATATGAACTCAAGATTTTTAACAGTTTTTATGTATTTTAATTCAGTGTTATTTTCCTTGATGTTCTAATTGCCCTACCTTTGAACAGTGGAAATGCTTATTCAAGTTGACTCCTGAGTTCTTTGAACGTGAACGCTGAGTCTTTGATAGCTTCCTTCTTTTCTGACATGAGAAGGTCTGAGCTCATATTGTACATTGCTGCCCCAGGTCTGGAATCATTCCTTCCAGTCAGGCAAACTTGAGTGTGCATCAGAATCACCTAGAGGGCGTATTAAAACCACATCGATAGTCCCCACCTCCCTGTAGAGTTTCTGATTTAATAGGCCTGGGGTAAGGTCCAGTAATACGCATTTGCAGTTCCTGGGTGATGCTGATAATGCTGGTCTAGGGAGCACACTTTTTTGAGAGCCAGTGCTTTAAAGAACCCAGTTCTTTTTGGTGGGAAATGTCATTTTAGAGACTAGAGCCTGGACGAAAGGGAGGATGATTCTAGGCTTTTTCAGTCAAGGACAGAAATAACAGAAAATAGAAGTTCATGTTGATTATTTCCTATTCACATTTAGAATTACACGTTTTAACTTCTTTTCTATCGTATTTGTTTTCTGTTAGGCTTAAAGTCTTGGTTTTTATGACATTCGTAATTAATTACTTAATAAATAGCTACACACACAACTTCAAAATAACAATACCATCATTATTTCATCAAGCATGATGCTAAAAGACTGTTTTAAGATTTTTTTGCAGCGTCCCCTTTTGTCCTTAGTGAAATGTCCCGTTAGGGATGGACAAATTACTCCGCTTCAAAGTGGCTGCAATGATTTTTTTCTGCTTGGTTAACCAATCAACTCAATACACAGTTAGATTCATGTTTTGTTTTTGTTCTGCTTTCAGCTTTAGGGGATTTTAATTTTATTTTTAAAATAATTATCTAAACATTTAAATGGTTTCAACATAATATCTATAAAATAAATTCGCTCTATTTCTGTCCCTTCTACCTTATTCTTTCTTATTCCTTATAAGTAACCATTTAATTTATTTTACGGGTAAATAAATGGCCGTATTATGCATACTTTTCTTCTGCTGGGGTCTGATTCCTCCTCTCTCAGCAGTATACTCTGAAGGTTACTTTCGGGCAGCATATTTATGGGCTTAGAGTCCTCATTCCTTTTCCTTCCTAGCTTCATAATGCTGCGTTGTGAGCATGTGTCATAGTTGATTCCTTTATTGGCGGACATTGGGTTGTTTCCGCCCTCACGCTATTATGAATAGTGCTTCAGTATTTCAGAGAGTACATATTTTGAGGTAGTTACAGTCACACTGTGTACTGTTTTCTGTTTTTTTCCCTTCACATTATATAACATGAACATTTCCATGTTATTATTGTAAATGTCATGATTTAAGACAGTTTTTTTTTCTGATTATGAAAGTAATACAGACTTGAGATTTTAGAAACTCAGAAAAATAAAAAAATCTGTAAATCACCCATAGTCCCTCTGCTTAGGTATACTTTTATTATTTTGATGTGTTCCCTCATAGCCTTAATAGCATTTTGTATGAACATTTAAAAAACAATCAACATTGGACTGGCTGAGTGGCACGTTGGTTAAGAGTTGGCTTGGGAGCGCGAGCTCTAAGCATCAGGGCCACCGGTTCGGATCCCACATGCAGGCCAGCGATGCTGCATCCTCTATAGCTAAGATGGTGAACAACAGCTCGACCTGGAGCTGGGCTGCCGTGGGTCGCCGGCGATGGCATAGGCTGCAGCCTCTGCTTCAGTGGGCTGCCATGAGCTACCGTGAGTGCCTGGCAGCCAGCGTGAGCTGCCTTGAGCAGCCATCCAATGGCCAGTGAGCGACTGCCTCACCTGGGAAGAGCACAATGATAATACCAACATGGGCCAGTGAAGCGACGTCCTCCACACTAGACTGAAAAACAAAAGGACAGCAACTTTTCTGTTCCCCTTTCCCGATTCCCCAACGCTGTTCCCTCCCCCAATTCCCCCAATAAAATCTTTAAAAAAAACAAACAAAAAAACAATCAACATCATATTACATAGTATCCTGCTTTGCTTTTACATATAATTGTGCATTTTCCACACCATAACCTCTTTATAATTAATTCCCGGTGGTTGGACATTTAGGGCCTTTCTGGTTTTTCAGTATTGTAAATAATATTGTGATAAATATCTGTGCATAAAGCTTTTTCCAAATTTCAGATTATTCTTAAAGTTGTTTTTTTTTAAGACTTTGAATGAAAAGGAAGCACACATATTTGTTAAATCATCTACTAGCTTACTCTTTTATAGCAGTAAACAGGTGAGAGACCGTCACCTTGAAACTTATGTCAAATAAATTCCATTTTTTTCTTTTCCTCTAGGACCTCAGAAATGAAGCTGAGAAGTTACGCAACAAAGTGAATGAAAAAGAGAAAGCAGTGGAGAATCATTACAAGAGTCTGTTGAGTGAAAGTAATGAAAAATTGTACAGTCAAGGGCAAGTGATCAGATGTCTAACAGGAAGTACCAGTCACGCGGACGAGGACTTGTTGCTTCAGGTTCCAAAACGTTTTTTCTTTTGTATTTAAATCTTTTGACTTGGCATAGGGCTTTTTGAAAAACTGTTTTGCAGGAACATTTATGTAAACATAAGGATGGTAAAAATGCTTATAATCTTCATTGCTACATATCAGAGCACCTTAGAGCTTTTGTTTATGTCATTTGGGCCTTAGCCGCCAGGGAAGTGAGCTGGCACACACAGACGCTCAGCGAGGGGAGGGAACGTATCCTGAGTCACGTGACTCGTGAATGGCAGGTCTGATTCAGGCCCTGACCTATTTGCAGAGGATTCCACTTTTTTCATGTTTCTGGAACATGCCTTTTGGGATGAAAAGCTAACAAGAAGACAACTGATTCATCCCACAGAACCCAGAAAGGCTCAGCAGGCTGTGGAGGTACCTGGTGCCTTTGTAAACAGAAGATTTGGCTGGAATGCTGGGCAGTTACGCGACCTTTTTCTCTTCATTAGCAGGAAATAGGAGATTTACTCTCAGGTGACTTAAATCGGAGCTCTGGCCTGGGGCTCACCAGGTGCATCGCGTCTGAAAGCAGGAGCAGCGGATCTCTTTAGTGAGAACCAGGAGGGAGCAGAAGTGTGCGTACCCAGCTGTGGGGTTCCTCTGAAAGGAGAGAAGACTGAGAGGCGCTGACAGCTGGGGGTCCTCTAACCAAACAGCTGAGTCCCCACCTGGTCATCTCACAGCGAGGCTGCCTCTGATAGGCCCTGTCCACACTCACAGAGCTCTGAGAACTTTCACACTTTTAAAAGTAGTTGGAGGGCCGGCCAAGTGGCTCAGTTGGTTAAGAGCTCGCTCAAGAGTGTGAGCTCTGAGCAACAGTGGTTTGAGTCCCAGCCTGAACTGAGTTGCTGTTGAGCTGCCAACAGGTGGCAGGGTGGCTCAGCTTAAAAAAATAAAAAAAAAAGTAGTTGGATGGCTCGAGTTCACGAAACAGGAGAAAAGGGTCTAATGGGAAAGTGAAGGCCAAAACAGACAGAACAGAGCTACATAAGAGGAAATAGAGACAGTGGAGTTAGCTTTTCAACAAACTGAACACGAACATCTTTAGAGAAGAAATAAGATCAGGCTCTGATAAGAAGATATTTGGAAAAGAAGAATGACCTGTTAGAAATTGGAAGTATGATTATAGGTATAAAAAGTTTAGCAGAGAACACTTAGAAAAGTTGGAAGATAAAGTTGAGTGAGCCTTCCGAAAACAGAATTAAATAAACAATAAAAAAGAAGGGAAAATGGGAGAGAAAAGAAGAAAGTAGCAGTTGAAGAGCTCCAATATACTAGTAACAGGAGTTCCAGAAAGATAGAACAGGCACAGCAAGGGAAGGACATTTTCAAAGTCGTAGGAAGTTTCCAGAATGGAAGGACAGATAGCTCTCCATTGAACGGGACTGCTCTTTTCCTAGCACCATAAATGAAAGAAGACCTATAGTCCAAGGCATGTCTTTGTAAAATTTCACAACACAGGGGTAAAGAGACGATCCGAAAGGCTTCCAGAGAGAGGGGAATATGGGTCCCTGTAGAGAGGACCCAGACTCAAAACGACATCAGCATTCTCAGCAGCAGCGCCGGAAGCCAGCAGACAGGAGAGCAGTGCTTTCAGGTTTCTGAGGAAGAGTGGTTCCCACTCCAGCATCCTGTGCTCAGCCAGGCTCAGCAAGCAGGAGGGTGAAATAAAGGCGTTTGCAGCCATTCAGTGCCCGAGATCATCTGCCTCCCATGCACTCTTTGCTGGAAACTTCTGGAGGATGATTCCATATGAGTGAGGAAATAGCCACAAAAGAGAGATGTGGGATCCAGAGAGCAGGGAGTTTACCTGGAATGTGAAGGCAAGTCCCAGGCAGACAGCGGGGCCGCGGATGCGGAGACCCTGGATCCGAGCTCTTGAGGGGGCGCTTCAGTGGGGATTTCTCCACGAAACTGGCACAGAACCCATTATTTACCTGACGGATCTGACTTTGTCTAGAGGGATTTTCCAGTCACCCTAGAGAGTTTGGAGCTAAATTAACATTAAGTACATACTTTAGCTTTATGAAGTAAGTAAACAGAACAAAGCAGTTCGTACTAATTCCAAGAAAAGCAAAGAATTGGAAAATGAAAGGAAATACAATCATGCAACTCTATGTATGGCTGAGCCGCGAACAGTGTTTGTGTGGCCATAATAATGTAAATGCGGAATATTGTTTAGCTAAAGTTGTGCTACCACTATTAGGAAAAGTGTTGGGGGGACAGATGATGTAAGAGTCAAATTTTTAAACTGTGAAAGGAACCAACAGATAAAATCTAACCAAAAGAAATCAAGAAATGTGAGAGGAATATAATACAGAAACATGGAAGTAAATAATAGAAGAAATATTGGGTTGTCGGAAAAGTCATAACGCATTTTTGCAACGAAAAACAGAAAAAATACGTCATGACTTTTCTGACAACCCAATAGCTGTAAAGAGTCAAAAGTTGTTTTTTTCTGGGCATGGGACTGAGAGGTGAGAGGTGGAGAGGTAGGGGGCTGCTGTTTTCCATTTAAGCCTCACAGTAGTGTTTGACTGTTAAACAATATATACGTATAATTGGACTTTTGAAAAATAAAAAATGAAAAGCATAGCTCAGGCACAACTGTATTATGGCAGTTCTAGAAATTCAATGTTGGTTATTTGATTCCTAGTTCTTCCTGTTACAATTCAATAGGTTTTTACAAAAAATTGCCTCTGCTGCTTGTTTATATTCACCTGATTTCTTTTAAAAAGTTTGACATGATGAATTAATTCCGAGAGGTGCTTAGAACAAGATGTGGCTCTTGCCCTTAATTTGCGACCAAGTGGGCAGACACCTAGTTCAGCAGTTACCAGGGTTTAAATAGGAATACATTCTGTGCTGGAACTCGGGCACAAGAGCAGGGAAATGGTCTCCCATCCTGTCTTGATGTTGGATGCCAGATCTTCTGTAGGGGCCAGTGAGCGGGACCGTATTTACATCATTATGCAGGAGCCTTTCAGATGTGATCAGACCCCAAAGCAGTGTTTGCAGTCTTGCCTTTTTCTTCCTGGAGTCAGATCTCCTCGTGGATATGGGTGGTTCAAGTTTTGTCAAATTTGTCATGTTTCAGGGGAGACAAAACTTTGTCGAGTTGTGATATACAATCAACCTAACCCTACAGTAACCCCGTAGGATAGGAAACAGACCAGAGGTCTGGCCAAGGGGACTCGGGATCGGAGTCCAGTCCCGCGGGGCCAGAGCCTGGGCTGTCCCCTACACCCACTGGGAGGTCGTCACAGGGGTGGCCAGAAGGAAGGCTTGTACTGATTGCCACCATGCCTACATGCTGCTTTCCTAGTTGTAATGATACACAAATGGAGTACATTTATTACAGCTTTGTAATTGCCTAATGTTCTGGGATGATGGAAATGAGACATACGGGTATTGTGAAGAAAAAATAAAATATCTTCTCTTAAAGAGTTGCGGAAAATCTCTTAATATTGTTTTCTTGATGAAAACTTCCTATGATTTGTTTTGTTTCTTTAGAAATTCAATGAGAAAGATTCGGAGGCAATACAGCAGAATCGTTATTTAATGACTGTGGAGGATTTCAAGTTCAGGAGTGAAGACTTAATAACAGAAAAGTGCTCTTCTCAACTGTCACCAGGCAGCGAAAGCGTCTCTGAGGTAAGCTTGACGGAAATTGGACCTTCACATGCGAATTCGTTTTCCTTTCTGACACATACTTGGTAATTCCTTTGATCTAGAGATCCTCCGATACCTTCTTGCTGATCCTTGAGCGTACACCAGGTAGGGGGAGGGGGGCTTCGCCTGTCCGCCCTGTAGATGAGCGTCCCGAAGCCGAGCATTAGCATTTGCACTCACTGCACTGGACACTGGGAAATCGCAGCTTGTTAGAAGATGAGCCTCGTGTTTGCTCTCCCAGGGCTCACCTGTCCAGAGCTATAATATGTAATCTCGTGTTAAGACCACCTTTCTCTTCAAATGCACACAAAAAAGGGGCACAGCAGGCCCCCTGTTCTCCTTTTCTTTCATTCCCCATCATCACTAACAGCCGGTTTCTTGCAGATTCCTGAAAACGCCATGTTTGTACCTTTGCACATGCGGTTCCGTCTGCTCGGAATGCTTTTTTCTTGTTTACCTGGTGACTCCTGAACCTTCCCACAGGCCACTGTAGTGTCACCTTCTCGGTGGTGCCCCCTGGACCTGGTTCGCAGTGACATCTCCTCTCCGGTCCACAGCACTTGGTACGCCGATCCGTCATGGCACGTAGTGTAGGGTTGTCGTCCCGGGACCTGCCTTTCTGCTCCCCCTCCCTCGAGCCCCTGTGCACCACGGGCAGGCCCCTCAGCGGCGGAGAACTGGCATTCGTGTTGGAGTCCCAGCACCGAGCCCAGGGCCTGGCTCCATGTTTGTTGAGTGAGTGAATGATTCTGTTGGTTTGTGAGAGACGTGTAGAGGTCGTCCTGACCCCAAGTTTGCGTATAATGCAGCTAGGCAGCCAGATGTGGCAAAGGAAAGGAGTTTCACTGGAGGCCAAGGCTTGTTTTTTTTAAAAACTTGACTTTAATTAAGTTCATGCATTCAGAAGCCAGAGAACTCTTACACAAATTAGTTCTCTGATGAATGGCTCTGATCGTGATTTGTGGTTTTGTGAAGGGTGAGTCTTAAAATAATTAACAACTAGTGCAACTTGGGCACGGCTATTGGAACAGACTTGGGCGGCAGGGCTGGAGCAGGGGCCTGCGGGCCTGCCTGTGCCGGGACCAGCCCTGGAGCGACTGGGCCTTGGAGAGGGGCTGGCTCAGGTGGATGGATCGGGTTGTCTTACAGCTGGTGTGGAAGTTGTGCAGTATTTTAGCATCAGGACCAGCCATTGCACTGCATGTCAGCTCAATACCATCCCTGGTCCAGAGAGCATCACTGGCTGAACAGTGGGAGCTCTTGCTTAACCCGGACCATTTGTGGATTTGCATTTTTCTGTGTCTCTGGAATAAGAGTGTCGGTATAAACTAGTGGAGCCCTGGGGCCCAGCCAGACATCTGGAGGCCTGGATTCCTCTCTTGACCTGTCACTACTACCTGAGTGACCTTGGACAAGTCCGATAACTAAATCTTACAGGGCTAATATTTTGTTTCTAACTTCCATATAGTTGTTTTACTTTGACCAAATTTAGCTGAGTTTTAATCTGTAATAAGGCACAGTAGTCTGTTTTGGAACAAGATTGCAGCCCATCAGGGGTTTTAGATGGACAGATCGTCACTTATTTGAATACATTTAGTTAAACTTTGTTATTTGGAATCATGCTTTAGTCATTTAAAAAGTATCTAAATGTTGAACAGAATGTTTATGAATTTATTGCACAGGCTGAGTATTTTAAAATTTAACTTCGTTAGTTTAATCACCTGCGCCACTTCTTTTTTAGTTTTTTACATGATGTTTGTACTTCCATATTAACCACAAGTATAAAAGTCATTTCACGGGCATTTCAGTTATATTTAGATCCCGATGATGTTTAAATTACTGTGCAAAATACCTAAGTGTTTTAGCAAAGGTTTTAATTCTGTTCTGTAAGACTGATTGCAAATTGTGGATAAAGGATTATGAAATTATCGTTTAGGAATTGTAAATTTCTAGGTGTCAGTTTAAGAAATCCCAATTGTTGCAGCCTACAGTCCCCTGCCCACCCCTCCCCCGTCCTCCACCCCAGAAAGGTATACTTTTCAGGTTATAGTTCTCTCTCTGTAGAAAACACGGATTCCCTCTGCTATGCCCTTGGCCATTTTGTGTTGGTTTAGGTTTTATCCTCTGCCCGTTCTGCAAAGAACTTGAGGCTGTGATGATGTCTCCATTGACTCAGGGTAGTCTGTTTTCCTTCTACCCATTGTGTGAGCCTGAGAATTAATGCTGCATGATCAGGGAATTGAAGAGCAGAGAGGAAAACACGGGCCATATTTAACTTGCTGCAGCCAGAGATTTATAGCTTGGCTGTTGACATGGTTGGGACATCGCTGCTGAATTTCCTGAGTATGAAAATAAATGCCTTTGTTGAAGAGCTGTGACATAGCTTCCGAAATAGACACCATCTATCTACCAGGCCACGAAATTGCCCTGATGACCCAGAAGTGAGCCATTACGTTTTCTCTTTCCATATCTGCTGCCTCTTCAGATTGTGGTCAGCATGTTACACGGGTTTCCTTCAAGTCATCAAGGAAACGGTGGCAGAGCAGAAGATGTGGCCGCTTAGATGTTGGAATGTCAGCTCTGCCACTTATTAGCTCTGTGACCTTGCGCAAGTCACTTAATCGTCCTAATCTGTATAATGGGGAATTACATGCTTATTTCCTGAGAGGATTAGCGATAATGTAAATGTATTAGTTAAGGTTCTTTTGGTTGCAAGCTATAGAATCCAACGTTGAGTAGATTTAGCAAAACAACAATTGAAGGAAGTGTTCATTGGGAACATATTGGGGCTGTCACCAATACAGTATGTGATGTACAGTATGCCGTGAGCGAAACCACAGCAGCCCCGGGGACAACAGAAGTTGTAGACTTATCTTTGACATCGACTCCCAGATTTCTGGTGTCTCCGTTTAAATTTCTGAATCTCTGGAGAGAATTCTACTGGTTTAGTGTGGACCCAGGGGTTGGCTCACAGAGGAGAGAGGGGTCTTCCAAGGACTCACCCCTGTGTTTTAGGGACAGTTCTCAGGTGAGGCAGGGCAATGGTGGTGAGCTGGGTGGGTAGTCATTCTCCGGCTGTGGAGAATAACTGCAGAATCGGATGCCCAGTAGACGTGTGGTGATCTCAAGTTTTCTGTGGAATGAGTGGCCTCCCGTCTGGGTTGTTTCTTGTTTGGAGGAGCAGGGTGGAGGGTGAGGGCTGGAGGGTGAGGCTGGAGGGTGAGGGCTGGTGGGTGAGGGCTGGAGGGTGAGGGTGGCGGGTGAGGGCTGGAGGGTGAGGGTGGAGGGTGAGGGCTGGAGGGCTGGAAGGTGGGGGTTGGAGGGTGAGGGCTGGAGGGTGGGGCGTGGGACGTGCGCTGATCCTGCTCGGAGGTGCTTCTCCTTACCCTGCTCTGGGCAGCCTGGCCCTCTGCGTCTATGCCAAGGAGATCCACTTGTTTGTCAGCTCTGCTGAGGGAGCCAAATGACTTCATTCTAATGGGGCATGATTCAACGCAGGGGAATAGGTGATTGATGAAATGTGACCCAAATGGCTCCAAAGAGTTCATTTATTTAACATGGGTGAGCAATTTGCTTCTAGGAAGACGTTGACTCACTCCAACTTCCATTATGCAAAATATCCACAGGAATCTCTGCTCTTAAGATTCATATCAGTCTCTGTGTTCCTTACCTATTTAATCATCAGGTCAGCAAGTACTTGTGGCAGCATTTCTTCTGTGCCAGGCACTGTGCCGGGCTCTGTGCACTGCTGCCCATAAGGAGCCCCAGACCCGTGAACAGGTGTGGCCACTAGCTCCGGGGTGAGGAGTAACCAGAAGAGGCATCTCTCAGTCAGGGAAGGCTTCCTGGTGAGAGCTGGGCCTGAGCGGGTCCTGTAAGGCCCCTGGAGTCTGTCTGTGGAGAGGAATGACTGATGGACACGGTCTCTGAAGAGTGAGCAGTTTCCCCCCCTGGCGCTCAGATGGAGGGGTTTCCCAGTTCCACGGAGATGGAAGGGCAGCAGGAAAACAAGTGCAGGTGTGGTCAGTTGGCAGGTGGAAGGTGAGGGCTGAGAAACCGGTGAAGGGTTGGAATAGCTGTCAGAAAGAATAGAAGAGGGCGCTGAACCGGAACCCAGGCCCTGACATCACAGTGGGGGTCCTCTAGGGCTTCAAGCCCAGCCCGCAGTGATCCAGTTAAGATACAGGGTCCCCAGGGCTTGGTGTCGTTTCCCTGGGCACACACATCCCACACCTGGAGTCCACTCTGTTTCTCAAAACCCATTTTTATCTGTCTTGCATCCCAGCCCTTCTTGGTTGGCTTTGGAGTTACATACCTCCCTAAGCCTAAATCTTGACTGCCAGCTGTTAGCTGAATGGGCTCAAACAAGGTACCTCTCCTCCCGGAGAATCAGTGTATTCGTCTGAAACACGGGAAGATGAACATATCTGCCTGGGCTGTGATTAGAGATCATCTACGTACAGCACCTAGCATAGCATGGGAGCATAGGAAGAGTAGTTACGGCTGATGTTTCTCAAATGTTTGCTCCATGCCCGGCGTCGTTCTGAGAACTTTGTATAGATGAACTCGTGTAATCTCCTGAACAACCCAATGAGATATGTAGAATTATTACCTCTGTTTATGGGTGAGGATATTGAAGCACAGAGAGGCTGAGTAACTTGTTCAAGGTCACACAGTTAATAAGGTCACACGCTCTTAATCATCATTGCCTCTCCTGGTAGGTGCTCAAGAAGCAGTAAGTTTTCCTATTTTCTCTGTTACTGTTGGCTGGCTTTTATGTGACTGACGGTGCTGACGTTACCCTTCTCAAGCCCTGAGTGCTTTGTATCCATTATGGGGCCTTGGCAGGTGGACGTGGAGCCCGGCTGCCCTGACCTTGGGCACGCTGCTGGCCCCCATCTGAGCTCACTGTGTTGTTGTGGGGGTTAAATTAAAGGAGAAAATGCCCGGCAGGCACTCAGCACAGTGGCTCACGTGCTGAGAACTCTAGCCTCTTTGTCCTGATACCCTGTTGAGTTTTTCCCCAGTCTTCTCTGGGACCCTTTGTTCGCACACATGGTGTATACAGGTGGGAGCTGGGACAGTTCCATGCGACACTGTTACTGTGCACAAAAGGCTTTTGGGAGCTCCCTGTGCCGGTGACATGTGGCAGGATTCACAAAAGGACCCGGCATTTCTAGCCGTCTTGGTGCCTAAGTTCTCATGACCAAACTGGTGGGTTAGCATTTAAACCTTGAATTGGCAGGTGATGCCACTGCCTTGTTTTGTTCAGGGCTAGAAGCACAGCAGTCTTCTCTTAGGGCAGGGGGTCAGGACCATTTCTTGCCCTTTGCATCCCTTTGGGAGTCAGCTGAAGCCCAGGGCCTCTTTCCTGGAAAAATACTTAAATGCACAAGATTATAAAGGAAACCAATTATTTTGAAATTTGGTTATTGAAATATTAAACTGTATGCTAAAATGGTGCTGCTTTATTAATTTGTAAATAACAAGATCGCGTGGTGGGCAAAGTGACTGCTGTAGTTTTGAAGTCGTGATAAGAAATATTTTGAGCTACCCGCAACATACACAAAGTAACCATTTCTTTTGATGACAGTCACAGGAAAACAGTAGGCTGCTGTGGTTTGTAGCAATAAGTGTTCCTTCAGTTCAGAGTTGAAGGCAATGCTAAACTTAGGGGTTAGTGAAAATAAAGACGTGGCTTTTCCCCCTGTTCGTATTCAAGCAGCCCCTGAATTTGAATCAGGTTCGGAACCCCTGTCCTAGGTAGTATGTTAACTTGAGAAAGCTTGAGTCAGTGTGAAATTCAAGGGCTGCTTGCCGCTCCAGTCCCGCCATTACCCGCGCGTCCCCTCCCAGCATTTAGAGCATCTAGGCTGTGCTAGGTATTCTGTACACATTCACTTTATTTATTCATTTTAATATCTTATTTTGAAATAATTTCAAATATATGGCTGGTTACAAGAATGAAGGATCTTACTCTTCCTGCGCCATCTGAGTGAGTTGCCCACGGGAAGCCCTGCCACCTCTGAGCACTGTAGCGCGTGTTCCTGCAGGCAGGGACTCTGCTGTGTAGCACAGCACAGCCCAGCCACCACAACCCAGGAGCTAGCAGGGCTCTTCCCGCCTTCCAGTCCTCAGACTCATCCGTGTGCACCGGTTGTCTCATAAACGTAACACCCATAGTTGCGAAAGGATCCAGTTCGGGGTCATGCACTGCACTAGATTCAATGCCAGAGCAGTTTTTCCGTCTTGCCTTGGCTTTCACGGCCTTGGTTCCTTTGAAGTGCCCAGGCCAGCTTACTGTAGACTGTCCCTGAGTGTGGGTTTCTTGGTGATCAGCCTCAGGCTGGACATCTTCGGTAGGAATATCACAGGAGCGACGCTGTCTTCTCACTGTGTCCTGTCCAATGGCACGCGATTTAGGCTTGTCCCATTTTGGCCATGCCGACCTTGATAACTTTATGAAGGTGATGTCTGCCAGGTGTCTCAACTATATAGTTACCCTTTTGTCTTTTGTAATAGTGTTTTTTCTGTGGGGGGTTGGGGGAGGGTTGTGTGTTTTGAATCTATATAAATACCCTGAAATTCAGACTTTCGCCTGCTGGCTTTAGCATCCTTTTATGTTTCTTGGCTGAATTACTTTATATCATGGTGGTTGGCAAATGGTGAGTTTTCTAATTCCATCATTCCTTCTACATTTATTAGTTGTTGTTCTACCGTAAAGAACAGCCCCCCTCTTCTTCCTATTTATTCATGTATTCATATCAGTATGGACTCGTGAATTCCTATTTTATTATTCGGTAGGTTATAATCTGTTACTATCATTATTTATTTTGCTGCTCAAATTGTCCCAGGCTTGGCCTTTTCAAACCGGCTCCTCTGTCCTTCTGACAACACACTCTATCATTATTTAAGCAATTCCTTATGTTCTAGCACAACAAAATGCTGCAGACATATCTTCTTACTGTCCTTGACTCCCCCCAACACTGACATTGGCCATTTCTCTCAGGACCCCCGGTTCCTTATGGTACAAACTGAACTTTTATCTGCCCCACACTTCCATGAGGCGGTGGTGGCTGCCCACCATTTTACAGTAGGAACCCCAAGGCTTCAGTTAAGTAACCTCCCCGAGATCCCAGAACCGGTAAGTTGGCAGAGCCAAAATTTGAACTTGTGAAAACAATTTCGCATTTGTGAGTGTTAATTCACAAAATTACATCCCCATTTCATAAATGAGGAGACTAAACCTCATAGAGGCTTGTTAAGCTAGTTATCTAGGTCGCTTAGCCACTACTGAGTGGCAGAGACCACCTCAGATCTCTTATCACTCTGTTTGGGACGCCTATAAAGTGACTCACTTGTCTTGACTTGAATATAAAGTCCCTTATCCTTAGTACTTGTCAGGTTTTGATTTCTGAATTTGTTATCTTTGGAGCAAGAAGAAGTGTGGAAAGATATTCTTTGTAGTGTTGTGAAAACGGTGACCAGCAGCTCTGAGGGGCGGCTGTTTCACAATGGACAAATAAGGCAACTGTGATGCTTCTTTCATTGCAGCTCTCAGCTTTATTCTGAGGTGATGGACAGTCATTCCCCACGCCTCCTGCAGGTGGCGCTCTCTGACTGTGGCCTGATCCAGAGCTTGGCACAGGGGATCATCGTTTGGATTTAGAAACCAGAACTATCCACATGTTTTCATAATGTAAAGACGTGCTCTTTCAGAATTCTTCCCTTAATGTCAGATGCCCATTGTCATTTTAGGAAAAGCAACAGCTAAACTATGAAGAGCTGATTCAGGTCTTAAAGAAAGAGCGTGACATCTATAGCCACCTGGTAAAATCTCTGCAGGACTCAGACAGGTAAGCATTCCTGTTTGGACATGACATGCACGTGAGTGTGAACACACACATACACACACACATTTTGAATGAGTGCTTGCAGTCGCTGAGGCAGCAAAGCCCTACCAGTTTGCTTAGGAAGCTTAAAGTACTTAGATGGTGATTGCCTTATTTAAATCTGAAATACCTATTTTCTATCAAGAATTGTCTGACTTTTGGCCATAAACTTAGAATAAGAATATCATAATCGCTTAGATTTTTATAATACTTTATTATAGATTTAGAAAGTGCTTGTATGTATTATTTCAGATGATCCTCACAACTGTTCTGTGAGGTAAGTATAATACTCATGTTATTTCTGTATTCCATAAGAGACGTTAAGTGACTTGTCCAAAGTCACACAGGTGGTGAGGGACAGAACCCTGGGACTCAAACAAGCCTCTGTGTCTTGGAGACCTTTGTCTTTACTGAATCGCTGACAGCAATTGGTGCCCGTGAGGTGGTGAGGAGAGTCGGTTACAGGCTCGCGGCCTTGTCCTAGCCTTAGCTCTGTGTGCACAGACATGTGGCTGCGCTGGCCTCCGTTTGCCCGTCTGTAAATACAGGGGGGCCTCAGTGGTTGCTCACATGAAGAAACCATCTCTCTACACACGGGGATGGTTACAGGTGAAAGGAGTGCTGTCTGGGGTTCATTTCCAAACAGTACAGAGGCAGCAGAAGTGGACAGGGACACCGTGCAGCAAGACTGGCCATGGCTCCTTGGCTGCTGGGCTGCGGTGTGAGCAGAGGAGGGAGGGGCTCGTGCCATCACAGTTTGTCTTCTTTCGTATGTGACTAAAACTTTTCCATAATAAAAAGTTAAACAAAATTACCCTTCATTGCACCTTCTCTTAGGCCCTCCACTCTAGCCATCATGAGGTCTCTTCATTATGTTTTCCCTGGGCCGTGTGCTCTCCTGCCCCTGCCTTCGCGTGGGTCCCTGCACCCTGCTTTGTCTCCCGCTAGTCCTTGTGGTTTCATCTTGAGGGTCACCCTTGTCAGGAGGCCCATGCGAATCCCCAGGAAAGTTGCCCCTCTGTTTTCCTGCCCTCACAACTGCCCTTAGCACCTTTGCGTACTGTCTCTTGGGACCAAGAGCTCCCTCAGGCGCGGATCCTGTCGTGCTCGTCTCCATTTCCCAGCGCCTGTCACTGGGGCTGCCATGGAGTAGGCACATGGGAACTGTTCAGTGGATGAACACCTCCCCTATCCGCATGCCCCCCGCCCCCCAATCTTTTAAGTTATGATAATTTTCCAATTTTTAAATCTGAAATGAGTTTAGGGAAAATGAAAACATGCTAATGAAATTCTGAAAGTGAGCATTTTCCAGAACCCGTAGCTACTAGTCATCTTCACTTGGGGAAGGGGTTGAGTAATGCTGGGAAACTCCAAGGGGGAGTGGGCGACGTGAGTTTAATGGTGCAGTTTCCTTGGCTGGGAGCCAGATTTGAGTCTGGACACTGAGAGGTCCTGTGGGTGGATACGTTGTTGTCAAGCCCCCTCAGCGTTATGGATGGCTCTGAGTTTCACAGGCTCTTTCTTAATGTATAAAAACGTGGGGTGGGACTGAGGCAGGTCAGGGCTGTGACTGACAAGGGTGCTTACAAGGTTTCCTGTTCGTCTTCAGAGTTAAAATCCATTTAGGGTGAGGCAGCCCTGGGTCCGTATCCCAGCTCTGCCACTCAGTGGCTCTGAGTTCTGGGGTGAGTCTCTTCACTCCGAGCCTCAGTGTGTGTGTCTGTGCAGTTGAGATTGGCTGGCCTACCTCCCTACTTACCTACCTGCCCACCTGCCTACCTTGTAGGGTTGTTTTGAAACGAGATGGCAATGTGTGCAGTCCTGATACTGCCTGGCACACAGGAAGCACTCAGTGAATGGTAACACATGAAGAATGCAACATGAAAAGCTTCCGTGTGCCTCAGTACCCCAGTACACATAAACACAGCTCTGGGGGTTTTTAAATCCTCAGGCCTTGCCATACCCAGAGGGAAGGACTGTAGGCAGAGGCAGGTAGAGCCCCTTTTGGTAACTAGCATTGCGCACTCTCTGGAAACAGGCAGTGCAGGTGGATGACTCTGGAGGCATACGACGTCCTTGTAATGAAAACTGGAAAGGGATGTCAGGAAGGAAACCGATCGTGGGTAACCGTGTGCCCGCTCCTTTCCCCTTACCTGCTTATTCCTCAGAGCAACACTTAGAAGTCAGCGCCTCTGTCCCCGAATTACAGAAGTGGAAATCCACACTTGGAAATGTTGGGGTGTTGTCCAAGCGTCTACAGTTAGGAATCACCAGCGCTCAGATCTCCCTGGCCCCCGAGCCTAGGCCCTTCCTGAGACGTCGCTCATCTTGAGAACTAATACAGTTTGCACTCCCCTGTGACTCAGGGTTTCTCACCCTCGGCGCTGCTGGGATGTGGGGCTGGGTACCTTTTTGTTAGGAGTGGCTGTCCTGTGCATTGTCGGATGTTTGGCAGCATCCCTGGCTTTTCACCACTCCATGCCAGGAGCGCCCTTCCCTGCCCCCATTGTGAGAGCCAACAGTGTCTCCAGGTATTGCCACAGGTCCCCTGTGCAGCAAGATCGTCTCCAGATGAGAATCACTGTTATAACTCATGATAGCCAGAAATTTTGGCTTATTATTGTTATCTTTTGCCTGTGACTTGTTAGAATATACAGAAGGAAGAAGTGATGTTTATTGAGCATGTAGTATGTGTTAGGTGCTAAGCTCTCTCCCATGAAACAGTTCATTTAATCCTCAAAACGTTGAAGGAATGATATTATCCCACTTTCCAGAGGAGGACGTCAGGTCTCACGCAGGTGACTGACTGCGGGGCCGTGGAGCGCGTCGGTGGTGCTGTGCCATTGGTAGCCTGGGTCTCTCGGGCTCCCCGTTTCTGCCTCCTTCCCCACTACATTCCGGAAAGCAGAGCGCCTGGGGCGCTCGCTTCTTTCTGAGCGAAGCATCTTCTGTTCCACCAACTCCTCACACCTTGAAAAAGATTCTGGAGTTGGGGAAACATAAATGACAGACACAGGCGCAGCAGCTGTGTCCTTTTCACCCTGTCAGGAAATGGAGGAGGGAGCAGAGCAGTTAGCTTTCGCAGCCCTAATCACAGGAGCTTCGCTAAAACAATCTCTTTTTTTTCCCCCGGTTAAACGTCTCTGCAGCACAACCGCATGCACGCAAGTGCTGTGCCGTGACATCTCTGTGAGGCTTTCCATCAGCTTCCACGTTGCTCACTGTGATTGTTCTGAAATGGAAGCAGGTACACGTTGCTAGTAGGGCCCCTTCCTTGGCAAGAGGACGGCTCCACAATGAGCCATCGTCAGAGCAGCGAGCATAGAAGATTAGACATAATGGTTTATTTTCCTTCTGATATATGTTGATTTATGTGTGCAGCCCCATGGCTGGAGCTGGAAGAAATCCTCAAGGAGAGGTGGGGCTTGAGTCTGTAGCACATACACAGAGGGTGCCAAAAAACAATGTAGACACATTTTAAGAAAGGAAAAAACTATTAAAATTGTAATGCTCAATATATACCAATAACAAAAGATGAATACAAGTCACGTTTGACTTCTGCAATGACAAGAGGTGCTCAAAGTGGTTCCCATCAGCGTCCAGACACTTCTGATTACGGCGAACTGCTGCTTGAGCAACGTGGGCCGAAGTGTCCACTTGTATCGCTGTGCATGCCGTTTCAATTTCTTCCCAAAGGACTGCCAGTATAACCGGTTTCCTAGGGTGCACCACATCCTTTAAGGTCCCAGACAGGTAGAAGTCAAGGGGTGTTAAGTTGGAGGTTGTGTTGCAGACTCACGCCTCCATTCTTGTGCTTCCACAACGTTCTCGAATTTCAAATACCGCTTCAAAATGGTCTTGCAATCCTCGAACAACCGTGCTTCTGCCATTTTCTTTGTCCTGCCTGTCACATGATGATACTAGCAGTCATTTGATTAATGCCGTCTTTTGAGCAAATGTCATACTACACATTGCTACTGTAATTCAATTCAGCTTCGAGAAGTAATACATAGATAACGGCTCTTAAAATGTGTATACATTTTTTGGGCATCCCGGTATTTAGAGCAATAGCTCCTATCCATTTTGGGGCTATGGACCCCTTTTGAAAAACCTGTTGAAAGCTGATGGGCTTTCTCTCTAGAAAAAGCCACATCTTCATAAATTTTATATAGACAGTCTCCCGATGTTGGGGGACCCTCTTAGGGAGCCATAGGTCAGACGCTGGACAGGGAGTGATGCATTTGTTTGTGTCTAGAAACGGAGGCTTTCTGATTTGTTAGTGTGTTTTGCTAGTCTTGAAAAGTGTTCATATCCTTTGAGTTGCTAGGAATCTTCCTTAAGGAACTAACCTGAGTGTGAAACAAGGCTTTAGGCACAGAGTCCAGCGAAACACCGTTATTCAGGTGTCAGCTGGGACCTCCGTTCCGCTGAGAGCGGGTGTCATGGCTCAGACCTGCGCGGCCTATACACGTCGTAAGGAGCCCAGAGCCTTCCTGGAGCTGCATGGCCCAGCTAGCAGCCACCAGCCATGTGACTGTTTACATTTAAATTTAGAAGAAAGCATCAGTTCCCCAGGACGCCAGCCACAGTTTAATGCTCAGTGGGCTTGTTTAGCCAGTGGCTGTGTATCAGCGCAAATACAGAACATTTCTGTCATTGGAGAAATTCAGGTGGACAGTCCTCCCCGAGTTTAATGCCGATTCTGGGACACGTGCATTTTCTTGGCCTCCCCTGAGTTTTGGGGTGCTCTCTGTGCAGCTCAGCACTGTATCACAGTGACCCCTATGTGAAACTCGACACCCCCCCCAAAATAAAAATCTGTTTCTGCTATGGATTTGTGAGTGGCTAACCCATTACAGTGGTGTTCTTTTGGCCCCTGAATTGGTCCTCCTCTCCTTCCTTTTATCGGCTCAGTCTTCTTTCTTTTTTCTCTTCCTTCCTGCCCCTCACCCTTACCCCAGTGCCAGCTCTTTTTGGAGTGACACAGCAGACATTCTCCCTTGTCTCCTCTAATGAAGCCCAGGTGCCAGGCGATACCCAGGCTCTGGAGAGCCACCCCTTCTAAACCCAAGCCCTCAGAAGGCATTTTTCCAAACATTCTGCGGATTTAAACTTTTTACCTAGTTACATCTGTAGCGAAAACTTGGAAATGTCCACTAATAGGGGTGAGTTAAAGTAAATGGTGTGACATTTACCTGTTAATAATATAGTCATAAAAAATGATGTTTGCAAATAATTTCCAAAAATGTAGGGAAGCATGTAAGTGAGGAATGCACAACTTACCTGGTATGTCCAGTGTAATTTCAACCTTGTAAAAATACTCAGGAAAAAAAAGATTGGGAGGAAAGACAGTCTGCTGTGTGTTCATTGGTAGGGGGACCGTGGTAATTTTTGTTTTCTTTATACTTTTATGTTTTACATTTTCTATAACAAAGATGTATTTGCTTTTATAACCATAAAAAAAAACAAACCCCACAAATGACATATAAATCAAAGGAAGGCTTGCTGGGTTTTGCATCTTAACGCACAAACAGGTCTGTGTTAAAATCGCTGGTGTCTTGTTTTACCAAGTGCCGACAACCTGCAGGCTGAGTTAGACAACGTTCAGGCCCTGCGGAGGCAGCTGGAGCAGGAGGTGCTGTCGTATCGGAACTTGCAGAAGATGCTGGAGGAGCGGATCAGTGAAGTTCAGAGGCGGGAAGGTACACGCGCTCTTGTATGCACTTCCCTTGGTTTTTCCACGTGGAGGGCCTTGGCTGAACGTCAAGAGGGCTCTAAAACTCCAGTAGGAGAAGAGGCACCCCTAGGATTCATCTGGGGCTCCTTTTCTGTGGTGACGGTTAATGTTGACTCTCCCAGCCTATATCCGCCTGGCTTCGGCCCTCCTCATCAAGGGCCCAGAGGGGCTGCTGCAGGATTGCTTTTCTGATGCCCCACCATGGTCTGCATCCTTCGATACTTGCAGCTTCAGGTGACCTTGGAACTTTGCAGTCCCCTTTCTCTGGGAGGCAGCCCTCTTTGCCCAGAATGGCTGGGCCCTACCTGCCCCGGCACCCCGTGCAGAGAGCCCCACTGCAGACGCGTGGGGGTGAGATTGCTGTCTCATGCAGAAACGTTGCTTTTGAGATTGTCATGAGCACAAGTGGGTTCACTGAGGCAGGGCTGCAAGTTGAGGGGCCTGCGGTTCTTGCACTGCTGTTGCCATCACAGAACTGTTTGGCCCTCTCCCTCCTAGACCCTGAGCTCCTTAGGGTCTGGGCTAGAATCTTCTCCCTTCCTGTGTCTCTAGCCTGGGGCCTGGCACATCTGGGGAAAATGGGTAATAGCAGCGGCAGGGTTGACATTTCTCCAGCGCCTCCTGTGTCCAGCGCCCAGTGGCAGGCACTTGACTTCTCATCCCCGCTCCTGACGCTCATCCCATCAGGGAGAGGAAGTATCGACTTCATTTTACAGAAGAAGAAACTGAGGCCCAGGGGTGGGGGTGGGAGGTGAGTTACCCAGATTTGAGCAGGGACATCTCCTTTGACGTGTAGCTCTGTCTAGTGTATTAGGTGTATCAGCGCATAGCCGTGTGTGTTACAGGAGATGTTTGTGGATGTGCCTCATTCAGGAACTAGCCTGCCCTCCTCTGCTCCTTCCCTCACATTAGAATGTGACCTTTGTGGCAGAGGAGACGGACCCTTATGGAGGTGACCAGGCTCTCTTACCTTGGATCTAGCGGGCGGTTTCTGCACTTGGTGTGCTCACTACCATGGAGGACTCGGGCCAGTAAAAAACCATCAGGCACTTACTTCCTTTGAGCTCTACCCTGCGGGCCACGTCCGATTTCCTTGTGTGCTCCCATGAACAGAGTCACTCCCTCGTTTAAACTGAAACCGCCATTCGCTGGTGCCACTCAGAATGGTCTCCAGGCACAACGCTTGAAATGCAAACTAGAGTTCAGAATTGGCTACAGTGAAAGCTGATACAGCCCATGATGAAACCAAACTTTGAGATACCAGCCTGTAGAGGAAGAAGGAAAACGGCCTGTGTTCCAGAGGTTAAACTCCCTATGAGTACTTATGCCCCCCCCCCCCCCAGCGCCCACCCCACCCCCAACTCAAACTGCCTGAGACGGATTGCACTGGGACTGGGCTTGGAAGGATCTATTTCTGATATTCTTTTTCTCCCCTCACCCCACTTTTTTTTGTTTTTTTTTTTTAGTGGAAGAACCATTTTCATTTTATAGTGATCAAACATCTTATCTGAGTATTTGTGTTGAAGAGCACAATCGATTTCAAGTGGAGCAGTTTTCTCAAGAAGAACTTAAGAAAAAGGTATCAGCCTCTACGTTTCAGTGCTTTGTGGGCTACTTGTTGTCTCTTGGGCTCCTGATCAGAGGTGTAAGATCCTGAAAGCCCCTTCCCTCTCCCGTCTCTCCTGTCCTCCCTGCCTGTCTTTGCTCCTTCTACACGCGTTACCTGGAGTGCCCTTCCCGTGTCTGATACGCTCCTTCTCAGACTCCAGGACCCGGCCCGGGCTCGAGCGTCTCTAGGAAATGCTCTCCGTCCTTCCACATGGGGTCGGCCACCTTTCCTCAGCTCACTCGCCTCACTTCTTGTCCCGAATCACATTGACTCCCTTCTCATACAGATCTGTAATTATCTGGCTGTTTGTCTGTGCCCTCTGCTAGGCCATGAACGTCTTTGAGTCAGAGACTGTATCCTATTCATTTCTGATTTCCTAGTCCCTGGCACACATAGTGGGAGTTAATAGATGCTTTTTGAAAGAATAAAGGTCCAGGTTTGATCAATAAATCTTTTTTAAAACTTGACAGGTTTTTCAATCTGTTGATTGTTGGTCTAGCTAGAGTGGTTTTGCATTTCAACTTCTGAGAGCCATTGATACGAATAGGAAGTGTGAGCTCAGAGGAGACTGCATTTTGTTGTAAAATTATCATATACACGTGACAGATTCAGTTTTTGTCTGAAATAATTCACAGTCTGATAGAGTGGGACAGACATGCAAATGAGGAATTGCAATGTGGAGTGCAGGGTTCGCTGTGAGCAGGCAGATGTACAAGGTATAGAGGTAGCTGAGAGGGAGAAGGTAGCTGTTGGGGTTTGGGGAGTGCTCACTTGATTAGAGAAAACATCTCGACAGAAGTGAGGCCTTACGTGGGCTTTGACGGATGCATAGGAGTTTGGGCAGAGGGTGCTCTCAGCCAAGAAAGAGAAAATAGCAAGTGTAAGGTACAGAAGCAAGAAATAGAAAGGAGAACTGTAAAAATTTCAGTATTTTGAGAGGAGTAAAGCAAGGAGCATGAGGCATTTGTAAATTTTTGAAGAGAAAGAAAACGCTGCTGCTAGTACCTGTGGCTGTGTGAAGGGCAGGCTGCAGTTCACTTGCTTGGCACTTTGTTTCTAGAATCAGAAAGTTTTCTTCTTCCCACTGTAACCTTGAGGGTTGGGTCCAATTTGTGTTCATGTTTTGGTGTGTTGGACATCTGCTCTGTGTAGTCGGGGTGGGATTTCCCACTTTATTTGAGAGGCTAATGAGTACCCTATTAGGAAATCTTTGGAAAATGACTGACCGTTGGGATTTGAAGCCTGCAGGGAACAGAGGTGGTGCCTGCTCAATTGCTTATGCCCCTGGCGACCAAGACCTAGGCCGTAAGGAGGAGCACTGGGCTGGGAGTCCCAAGATCTAAGCCCCGGGCCTGGCTCTGCCTCTGTGGAGGCAGCTGCCCTTCCCACATGACCAGGCACTTTGGAGGTTGTTATACTTGTATGTCGCTTAATGGTCCAGACACCCCCAGCTGCGGGACCTGGGACTCTTTGTATCTCGGGTTCTTCACTATAAAATGGGGATAGTTGTACCAGCCTGTCCACCTCCTCAGGATTTTTGTAAGGAACGATCGACTAAAGCTTGTGGCAGTATTGTAGTAGCTATAAATTGCTTTGTGATTGAAGACTATTATTATTACTGACATTGCTAGGTAGGCGTACAGCGAAGGTGTGAACTAAGGCTCTGACACAGTCTCAGAAACTCTGGCCTCGGGGACTTTCCTCCCGAGGGTCTCTAATAAGGCAGAGATAGTAGGAGCTATCATTAGACTGTACTGAGGACGCCAGTGCTCTGTGACCATGACCCTGTCCCATCTCTCAGGAACCCATTTCACAGAAGAGGACGTGGAGGCTCACACTAGGCAGCTTGCGCAGGGTCTCTTTCCCTTGCAGGGGTGGCTCTCACATGGGAACAGAGGGATGCTGGTGGCTTTTTCACTGTACCCAGCATAGCCTGAAGACTCGCATCAGGCCGCCTGACTCCATACCTGTGATGCTGAAAGGTCTGCTGAGTAGGAAGGCCTGTGCCCAGGGGAGTGGCCCTGGGCATCGGAGCTCTGCTTGTGGATACCCAGTCCTCTCTCTGCTCTTATCTTCTAGGTCAGTGACCTTATACAGCTAGTGAAGGAACTCTATACAGACAACCAGCACCTGAAGAAAGCCATTTTTGATCTCTCCTGCATGGGTTACCAGGGGGATGACAGACTCGAGTCAGTAAAACAAACAGAGGTAAGAAGAAACTCTTTTGTTGTCATGTGCTAATTACAAAAAAAATAAATAAATAATAGCCCCCAAAATTTTCAAGACTGCCTCTGTCCCGGGGAGTCTCTATTGAAATCCCCTTTACTGTGGCTGGGTTTTGAGGACCCTCTGGGTCAGCAGGTCTGTCTGTAGGCTTTGTCAAGTTTGGGTCATGTCTGCGTGGACACGTTCGGTATGTTGTGATGCGATTGACTCCAAGTCCAGCCCTGGTCTGTGCTGCACATGCACATCCGGATGATTGGCCTGGTCTCAGAGGGACCTGGAGAGTTACCAGATCACCCGTATAATTTAGGTAGTGGAGAGGCAGCGTTAATGAATTCATTAACATTGAAAAACAAGCGAGTAACACATCTTTCATTTCCCTTCTGTATCAATCCCCTGAATTTTGTGCATCTTCTCACTCTCACGGCACCTGGACTTCCAGATTAGACGGGATGTGTGTCTTTCCTTCCCACACAGACCCGGGAGCCCCAGAGGGCGGGACAGGCAGGAAACAGTCCCATCAGCCTGCAGGGCCAGGTTCCTGGCTGTGGGGATTTTCTGCTGGTGGATTTGAAAGTTTGCAGGGCCCGGAAGGGTAAATCATGGTCACGGACACTAGAGCGTGTGGTTCCCTGGGCTTGTGTACTGGGGATGAGGGGCCCATTCTGTTGGTTCCACCCAGGGAAAGGCCATGGAAAGCTGTTCCCTCTGATGGTGTCTGGGCCTCTGCTCACCTCTGTGATGTGTTGTCTCTGATTTTCTTGGTTCTTGGCCCCGAAGGCGTGCCAGTGAAGGAGAGTTTTTCGTTTCCTCCCTTTAGCTTCTGACTTGGCGTACCTCTCCCACGGGAAGAGCCTTGCTCCCTGCGTCTGTTAACCTTTTTCAGAAGACGGGCACCGTTCTCGCCATGGAACGCAGTAGGGCCTTTCTGGGCTTGGGCCCTCTGGAATCTTCTTGGTTAGAGTTATCTTGAACTCAGCCTGGCACGCCAGGTAAATAAATGGAGGTCTCGTTGCCACATCATTTCTTGGGAAAGATTTGTCAGCCTGAAGCTGTCTCCTCCCACCTTCAGAGTGAGAAATGCTCAAAGGTATTTATGCTGCGCTCTGGCCATCTGCTGTCTTTGCGAGACAGAATATTATTGATCTCAGCCTCCAGGGCTCCAGATAATTTTGAAAACCAAGAATATCTGCAGTCCATTTAGGGAGAAACAAGTCTCTTGGTTTGTTTTCTCCAAGGCAGCATTTTTAATAAGCAGCTCACTCTTCACCCCCTTCATCTGGGTTGTAAATGGCGAGTTTGTTTGTTCATTTGCCCTTTGAAAAAAAAATCTGTTAAATGTCCCATTACGTCCTTAGGAGAACAGAGGCTTCGTCCTCTTCCCACTCTGTGATCTTAATACCAGCCGATTCAGATTGAGTCATTTGTCAGATTGCACTTCAATTTGCTGTTCCCTATGAATAGCCTTGTCCTTTGTAGCACAGTCCCCCGTCTTCCCCCCAGGATGGGACAGGACCAGCGGCCTGGGGAGGATCATGTTCCCACAGTAATCTTGTGCTGAGGGAGAAGAGGTTGTTAGAGGCGAGGGTGGGTGGCAGAGAGGGGCGGCTGCCGTCCCTGGGAGTGCGTGGTTCTCTGATGAGAAAGCAGGCAGAAACAAATGGCCTTTTCTGCGCAGCATGGCCTGCAGAGTGGGGGCTGGGCGCCATTCCTACTCTCAGAAGCCTGTAAGTCAGAAAAGGAAACAAACAGACATATTTTGTGTTTTTAAAACTTGGTGTTTTTTCTCTAATATTTAATTAACGCACAGCATTACCTAACACTTGGGAAACAGAAAAGAAATTACCCCTAATCCTGTCACTTTAAAACACAGTTGACTAACATTTTGGTCTCTTTCCTTCTCTATTTGTGTATGTGAATGTGCGCATGCCCACGATACATGCATAAGTTTGTTTCTTGTTTTTTTCCCAGTTGCTGTTATGTTATAGCGTCTCTTTTCAGCTTATGAATGTACCGAGATTTAATTAACTGCTTCGCTAATTGTTGGACATGTAGATTGATTCCAGTGATTCGTTATTTTAAAGGACCTGATGAGTATCTTTGGACTCAAATGTTTTTCTGGGGTTAGGATTTTTTCCTTAGACTGTATTCCCAGATATGTAATTATTAGGTTAAAAGTACAGATAGAGGTTAGGTATAACATAGGCCTCTCATTTATTTTCATAAATGAAACTTTTAATTTGACAAAGAGCATAGATAGTAAGAGGCCCTTGATGATGATTTGCCACGTTTATCTTCAGAATGGTCGCAGTGGTATCCCCGCCAGCTGCTCCAACACCGCTATTCCCTGCCTGTGGGCAGTTCACTCAGAACCAACCAACAAAAGGCCAAGAATGGGCATTCTTCTGGGTTTTTTTTTTGTTTGTTTGGTTTGGTTTTTATAGCCCGCCTCCCCCAAACATACAGAATACTACTTTTTTTTTTAACTTTGTTGGGAACAGTGTGTTTTTCGAGGACCCATCAGCTCCAAGTCAAGTTATTGGCCTTCGATCTTAGTTGTGGAGGGCTCAGCTCAGCTCCAAGTTCAGTCGCCATTTTCAATCTAGTTTTGGGGGGGCACAGCCCACCATCCCATGTGGGAGTCAAACTATCAACCTTGTTAAGAGCACGCGCTCTAACCAACTGAGCCATCCGGCCACCCACATTCTTCTGTTTTAAAGTACATTTACAAAATCTCTAATAAGGTTGCCCCTATTTTCATATATATACATATACATATACATATACATATATATATATATATATATATATATATATATATATATATATATATAAAACTAGTTGTTAATTTATGTATTATAGAAAAATGTGGTTGAGAATTGACATACAGGAGTGATCTGAGCAGACTGTTGGCAGGGAAGTCTCACCACCCAGATTCTACTACTGACATTTCCCACCCGTCCATCATTACTCCATCTTTTGCATAAATTTTAATGTACACACATCAGTACACCTCCCCTAAATACTTCAACATCCTTATCTTTAACCTTAATATGTTTATAGTTATGCTTTATTTTAAGGTTAAATTTACATACAGGGAAATGAAATTTTAAGTCTATCTTTGCTAAGTTTTACAAATGTATGTACCCGTGTAACCCAAACCTGCTGTCAAGGTCATGTCCCTTCTCGGCGGTTTCCACCCCCACCCCTGGCCACTCTTCTCATTTTATTCTATCATGGGTTAGTTTTGCCTGAACTTGACCTTCACATAAATGGAATCCTAAAGTACGTTTCCTTTTGTGTAATGCTTTTTCACTCAGAGTAATATTTTTGGGATTTATCCATTTTGTTACACGAATCAGCAGTTTATTCCTTTTTATTGCTAGGTAGTAGTCCACTGTTAGAGTATATTAGTTTGTTCATTCCTTCTGCTATTGATAGACATTTGGATTTTTCCCAGCTTTTGGATATTATCATAAAAGCTGATAAGAACACTCATATACAGATCTTTATGTGGTCATATGTTTCCACTTTTCTTGATGAAACCTAGGAGTAAAATTCCTGGGTCACAAGGTTACTAGTTTTATAAGAAATTGCTGATATATTTTCCATAGTAGTTTAACATTTTATACTCTTACTACCAATTTTAATAGTCCTAGTTGATCTGTATCACTTGAGAACGTTTTAATAATAAGGGAAGAAGCCAGTAGCGGGAGAGGGTTCCTCACCCATAGTTAGAAACTTTTGCGCCTTCGTCAAGTATACGTGCGCATGTCTAGTCTGTTTATCGCTTGGTCGTTAGCGTAGTAAGACCTGGTTTGTGGTCATCGGTCCTGTGTGATCGTGGTTGCAGATTTGGATGTAGTTGGGTGGAATATGTTCTACTCCTGGGACTGTTTCTATCAAATGACTTCCTGAAGTCAGTTTGCTCTATTTTATTTTTCTTCTTCCAAAACAAGGGTTTTCTCTAAAAGGAAGATCAGATACATTTGAGTTGGGCTGGTAGAATGATGGGGGTAATTGACTAAATGTAGGGATTCATAGACTAAAACTATGGCGATAGAGCCCTAGACATCGCTCATCTGTACAGCCTGCCCAGCAGGTGACTCAGCATCTTGTGTGTGGTTTTACCACTTTGGAAAGATGGGGTTTGGGATAATTTTTGTAACAGCTCTGACCGATTCTCCCTCTGGGTGTAGCTACCTTTCCCTTCAGTTTCTATATGGTTAACGCAGGTGTCCCATGACTAGAATTTTCATTCTTCCAGAGAGCTGAGATCTGGCCCTCTTGAGAACTCTACTGTCCATTCTGCAGAACGGCGAACCTTTGGGATTGACACATGTTTAAAGCATTAGGGATTTATGCACTCTTTATGAGTAACTGTCCTTCCTTTTCAAAAGCATAAAGTTATTGTCAGGCAAGCCTGATGCTCTACTTATTAGCAATGAGGACTTTTTGCCAGTAAATTGGCCGTGTTGCTGGACCGTCCATCTCAGATGTGTGACAGTCCAAAAAGAGGTTTATGCCCTGTGCTAAATAGAGGAGTGATGCATAAATCAGGCACACCATAAATTTCATTTACTGCTTTCTCGCTATTTGATATTTTCAATTCCATCAATAGCTATTTTCCAAAATCTTGTTACTTTTATATAATCTGAAAGTGAATTTAGCAATGGTAGGAATGGGAGCAGCACAACAGACAGCATATTCAATTTACAGCAGCTCAGGGAAGGCCGTGCGAGGGCAGGGGGAAATAGCTGTAGTTATTTCTTGGGGAATTTGTCCTTAAATTATGCCTGATCCCAGGCAGCTGAATGTGATGTGCCAGAACTAGCAACTCTAACTTTGGTTAATTTTTATTTCATGGCTTTGGCATTTGTTTCTGCCCCTTTTTTTGGTTTGTTTTTTTGCTTTGCATTTAAAAAAAAAGTCATCGCTGACTTATTCATGCATATTCATGCGGCACCCTTTTTTGGGTTGCATTTTCACACCATTCCATGAACCATGTAGCTTCCGGCTAGCGAGGAAGTCGAGGACACGATCAAGATCGGAGAGGATGACGAGAGTAATTTCCCAACTGACCAGCATTTGGAGCAGAGTGACAAGGTGGGAACATGGCAGTTACCTCTTATTCCATCACCCCTCTCTGTGCCCAAGCCAGTCGTCTAGTCTGGAAAAACTTCAGTGGGTTTCTGATCATTCTGCCTGCATCGAGTGCCAGCTGTGTGCCTGTGGAGAGCAACAAGGCAAGGTCTCTTCCTTCTCAGAAGTTACAAACTGGGTGGTAGAGCCAGTCATGAAACAGCAAACATATAGTTGCAAATAAAAACAGAATGACGAGCATTGGATGTTGGACCTGGACAGATCTTTATAGATCTAACCCAACCCACTCGTTGTACGCATTGGAGACTGAGGCCTATGCGGGGAGCTGGTTATCCAGGACACAGAGAGTAAGTCAGTGACGGTGTTGGGACAAGAACCCTTGTCCCAGCAAGAAACTGCTGTGAACTCCCAGAGCATTTGATTGCAGTTAAGGAGCCCCTGATAAAACCAAAGTCCCTTTCTCAGGGCCTCTGTAATCTCTTGACCTGGAACCCAGCTTAGTGTCACCTGGGCATTGATGAGAATTTGACTCTGTCCACGTAGAATGTTCCTCTAGTCACATTGATACCAAGCATGTGGAACAAACGCTCTTCAAGGCTGTAAGGACCCTGTGGACTGGGATGTGGTGGGAAATAGGAGGCTGAAGATTGCGACCTCCAAGGGTTCACGTTCATGGGGTCACGAATGGGAAATCATTACATTGTAGATGTCATTGAAAGCAAAGCAGTGAAAGCGGAGGCTTTGGACTCGGATCTGACTTTGCGTCTTGGTCACTATTTCTGTGACCTTGGTCAACCCTCGCTTACCTCCTAAGCCTGAGTTTCCCCATCAGTGAAGATAATAATACTTCTTATGAGCATTATTGTGATATTTAAATAGAAAGGTATGTACTAAATGTTCAGTAAGTGATAGCAATTACTGTTTTTATTGTTATATTCTAGACTTTTCCTTCTTGGGAGGTTGCTTATTTAGATGGATTTAATAACTAGATTGGTGGCAAACAAGACCCTATAAATAACAGCTCATTTGTGTGGGTCTTGTCTTCCATTTAAAAACTTAATCATTTTACAAGTGTTGAGAGAGGGGTGTGATGGCTAGTGTGTATCTCACCAGCAGTAATGAAGTCAAGGGGAGCTATTTATAGGTTGGTAGAAGGAATTTACAGCTTTGGAAAGGAGGAGAAAGAATGCTAATTGCAGCACCTCAAGACATGCCCAGCACAGGCTCTAACTACACGCATCCTTGGTACCACTCCTGGGACCCTCAGTGACCCAAGAAGGGGTCACTGAGTGATCCATAAATAACATCTCCATGAGAATGAGGAACTCGCCACCTTCCTAATAAGACAAATCAAAGTTACATTAATTAGGATGCCTCTGTAAGGAGCCAGTCGGCTTTCTATTACGTAACAGGGAGGGTACATTGCAGTGTATATAAATGTCTGAAGCATTGTTAATGGCATGGGTTCTGTGCCCTTAGGAAGAGCTTCCAAGGAGTGGGCCACGGGGTGGGGAACGTGCCGTAGTGGGAAAGATACTGTGCCGTGCACTCAGCGAGTCAGTCAGCTCATTTTGTTTTCATCGTCACTTTGAGGAGTGGCATTACTGCTCCCATTTTCTAGGGGAGGAAACTGAGGCTGAGGAGAAGTGATGTGGACATCTTCGTGGGCTTGCCAGAGCATCTCCTTGCCGTATTGTGTGTGTGGACCTGTGCCTGAGTCCCTCTCTCCCCGCTCCCGCTTTCATGTTCTGGCTGGCTCACTTGTACTCACTCACTCACTCACTCCCTGTTTCCACCCTTCCCCCTCCTCCATGTGCCTCCGCCCCCTCCTCCACAGTCCATTATTTGACCAAATACTTTGATTTGCAGATTGTGGAGGACTGTTCCAAAGGGGGCTGCAAAAATGGATACTTCAGGCACACAGATTCCAGTATTTTAGACTCCGATGGAGCCCACACACCTGGCTGCCCTGGAGACCCGAGTCTGGAGGAAGGCGAGCTCCTGAGCCTGCTCGCCCCTTTCTTCAGCGAGAAGGCCACGTTGTTACTGGAATCCAGGTAGACGTGGGGCCCAAGGCTTGCTTTGTCTCTCTAGTGTGAGGGGAGAGCAAATTCATTCTGCTACATGGATTGAGGTGGTGGCGCCATGTCATTTACCTGAGAGAGCTCCTGAAATGACCTGAAAGGGATCTTGCCAGTCACGCAATTAAGTCATTAGGCTGCATGCTAGTGGCTGTGAGGGGACTTCAGCAATGCCTCGTGCAGGCCCATTATAAAGAGGAGAAAGGGAGCTTTCCTCTAGAATGATTCCTGGGAGCCCCAGGAAGGGCTTGTCTGGCTGTCAGCGAGCAGAATCAGCCCTACCTAAAATCCTTTCCAGTTTCTACAGCAGCTTAGAAACTACCACGGTTTTATGTTGAGCTTCAACTAAAATTCTCCCCTTTGTCTGTCTGCTGGGAGTCATTCCTGCGAGAGGAAACACTGCAGGGTGTTTTCCTTTAAACAAAAGCAGAGAAACATTCGGTACATTTGTATTTTTAAAACTAATCCTTTCGGAGCCAATTTCCCCCCTTTCGCGTTTGTTCTAGTCCATCCGGGCTGCGGAGCCAGAAAGAGCTTTGTCTTCATCTCTCAGCGCCTCAGCTTCTCTGACAACTTCTTAGGGTTCCTGCAAGGAGTAAGAAAAAAACGAAAAAATGCCATGTAAGGAAATGGCTGGCCTGTGGCGTGTGTTCAATGAAAGTTTTCAGTTCTCCTCCAGCACAGATAGAGAAATGGAGCCGGAAACTACTAACGACGACAACTGGCAAGAGCCAGGAACCCCACTATTTCTTATGTCATCGGTGGACCAGCCTGCATAGACATTCCCTTAGCTAAAAGAAAGTATTGAAGTGTTCTGTTTTTGTGCGCCCTGGCAGGCGCACCCTTTCCCAATCCCTGACACCTGCCTAATAGTTTTCTAGCATGACTCTCCCGTGCCCAGTGGCTGTTCTGGTTTATTATCATAGGGAGGTAGTTGACCGTAGTCAGTGCTTGAGACATGGAGGATTTCCTCAACATCAGGGTCCCAAATGTTATATCAGAATTAAAAGATGCATCCCTCTCTCTCCCT